AAATATATGAGTTTGTATGTAATGTATGAATATAATATACAAGTTTCACTTTTTAAATGGAATTAMTGAAATAAATCTACTTTTTCATGATATTCTAATTTTATGACCAGCACCTGTACATTCCTGTAATGGAGTGGCTTAGGGTCAACAATAGCGGATTGTGTGCTTATTGGCTGAAATATGTGGAATTTAGAGCCAAACGTATGTCAACGGCATGATGTCTGACTTTGCCACATACCCATGACCACGCCTTTCATCAAAGTCTTTTTTTTAAAGCAAGTGAGATAAAGTTGTAATTTGTGTTCTGACACAATTTGTTGCTGATTAGGTCAAGAGGGCCAGAGATGGAGCTTTCCAAGCCAAAACAAGGTCACTTCTTGTTGTCAGGGGGCAGGGCTTTATTGATGTCATGTGATCACAAGGTATGGTTGGGCATGCAACATGGATGACTTATACCAAGTTTGATGTATTTTAGCCTTTCCATGTGAAAGTTACAGCTTTCTGAAATTGTAACGGATGGATGGATGGACAGCGAGCATTTCTAAGTGCCCCTCCTCAGTAATAAGGGACAACTAAGTACTGATTTTGATTAAACTCATTTTTCTTATTGTGTGTGTTCCAAGCTTTTTAAARGTAGCACAACCCAAACTGGTTGCCASATGACCTGATCACCTGTTCCCCCATGTTTTTGTCATGTGTGTGTCTTCTTGAATGGGTGTTCTTAAATGTAATTTCATTGTGCAAACAATGACAATAAAGGCTTTCATCATCATCATCATCATCATCATCATCATCATCACGTATATGCTCATACTTTTCATGTTCATACTTTTCAGTTGGCCAGCATTTCTAAAAATCTTTGTTTGTATTGGTGTTAAGTAATATTCTAATTTTCTGTGATACTGAATGTGGGGTTTTTAGTTGTCAGATATAATCATCAAAATGAATAGAAAAAAAACATTTTAAATATATCAGGCTGTGTGTAATGAATGAATATTATATACACACTTCMCTTTTTGAAAGGAATTACTGAAATAAATCAACTTTTTCGTGATATTTGAATTTCATGACCAGAACCTGTAACATGTTTACCTTTGATCTTATGGGGGGGATTTTCCCCATTATGTTGATGTGGTGATTACCTGAAGAGTCCCATTGAGCTCCTCAGAGTCCCAAAGCATCTTGGGAAATTTGGTTGCCTAGAATAGAGATGAAAAATGTCAAAAACCATGGATCATGTTTCAGCCTAAGAAGTAGATATCAGAGTTTAAATAACTTTAAATTTTCTGTCATATGAATGACAAAACATCATGTCTCACCTCATCCATCAGGCCAATCTCATCTCCGTAATTAAAGACAGGTGTTCCAGGCAGAGTCAGCAGCAGCAGATGATGGAGTTTGACCTGAGCCCGGTTAACTAATGAGGCCAGATGACCTTCAACCCGACCCCCCAGACTCCAGGCCAGCTTGGTCTGATTATGGGATGAATACAAGTCCTGTATGGTTTCAGCATAACTGGTGGCATCAGTTTTACCATATGTGAAGACATTGGAGATCAGCAGATCAACTCCAGTGTAGGAGAGAATATCAGACACATTTTGGGCTATGGAGCTTTTTGTGACACCAATCAGGACCCTGGACAGAAATTCAAAGAAAAAAAACAACAGCAATTGTTTTTGTACTTAACTGAACTATGAACTGAATCACAAACAGACAAAACCTGATCCATAAACTGAGCTATGTACAAAATCACAGCCTGATCTAGAGACTGAAACAGACTGATCCACATGCCAGGTTTATGGACTGAAAAAATCTGAATCCCAAACTAAACGACCCAAGCGCATTTTACATGTCAGTAAGAATAACTTAAGTGCAAGCAGAAAACAGGGAGGTGTGAGAGATAGCAATATCAGCTCCTTTGACATTTCTCTGTCTGTGCAGACAATTAATTCAAGTTTTTGGATTAATGCAAAAGATATGGATACAGTTTCTTAAAGTCATTATGAAGGACTGATTATTTGATTTGGAGGAAAAACTGCAGAGATGAAGAGAAGACTCAATTTGTCCATAGCCAGTGTGACCACTGATGTAACTTTAACACTTCTAATTTAATTCAACTCTGATTGTTAAGGTTCGTTTTGTGAGTACTCCAAAAATTGGATGTGAGACAACAGTAAACAAATGACTCAGACAACAAATAAAAGTTCAGTGA